GAGATGCAGATCTGGGGTGCTGGGAGCAGACAATGGGCCCCTGGACTAGGAAGTACCTTTGTCAGTCCTGCTAAGACTAGGAAGCACGCCCCTCCTCCATGTGGGCTCAGCGGGAGCTCCCTCTTCAGTTTGGGGCGGTGTATGGCTGATCTTCTGCATTAGTCACTACTATTACCACTCTGTCTTCAACTGTAATAGTCCAGCCCATGAGCACATCCCATCACTTTTTCAATCACATCATCCCACAAGCACCACTCCATTCCCCAAGAGCCCCCCAAAACACTTGTCCCTACCACTCCAACTTCCTGTGTTGCCTCTTATTCCTTGGGTGTACTTTGCACAACAGTCCTGCACCTGTGCAACAGGCATAGAAAGCCACTGCACTCGCCTGCCATGTCCACAGCCTCCCCAGTCTCTCCTCCAGGGGCCGCTCCTGCCTGGCCCCACCCCACTTGGCCAATTCCCCTTGTGGCCCTCTATTGAACTGTTCTGTTGTCCATTTCCCGGTGACAAGGGCTCTGGTTACAGAGTTATTGATTGGTTTTCATGCAGACAGATGGGCCCTTCCCGGCTCCCATCAAAATCCCTGGCTGTATGGGCTGATTGTTGCCTCTCGGGGTATAGGATTGCAATGGAGACCACCCTCCACGCAGCCTCCTTTGCCCGGGCCATGGATGGAAATAAATGGAGGCAGCTTGAGCAATAATAAAAGCAATTCAGTAGGTTACCTGTGCAGACACAAGATTTATGCCTCTTCATATTTAATGTGATTGTTTTATTGAGTTCTCTGAACAGTTGGGACACTATTTATTTAGGGTTTCCCCCTCTCTTTTCTTCTTTGCAGGACCCTCAAAAACCCACCTGGAGTGCTGGTTAGGAACAACCTCTCCTGTCTGTCTCATCTCAAAGCTGCCAGCTGAGACAGGAACTCAGGGCCACCAGCCAACTGCCTTCACCTGCAGGCCTTTGTGTGTTCTGGACTCTCATGGGCCAGCCACCAGGGAGACAGACCAGTGCGACCACTGGCCAAGAAGCCCAAGCTAAAACAACTGACTAAACAGAAATGGACTTTTCAGGGTGGCAATCCAGCTCACATGAAAACATAAGATCAACAATGGCGCCTACTCCTAGGAGAGGCGACCCCGGTAGAGGGAGGCCCTGTCTGGGGAGGATGCAAGGGTGCTGGACAGAAACAGCTGAGAAGAAATTGATATTTGTGCCCAGGTCTGCTTAGACCTGAGTCTACAGGCAAGTTCTCTGTCCTTTGGTCTCTTCTGTGGGTAGAGTCGCTTGTTTAACCATCAGTTTGTCCTGCCTCTGGGCCCTGAGACCCAGCAGCGACCAGGGTTAGGAGACATGGCAGGCAACACCACTGCTCCATCCCAGCCTTGTGCCAAGCAGGTCCAAGAGTCAAGTCAGGCAACATTCTAGAATTGGAAATTCAGAGGAAAGAACAGACTCTAGTCCAGAACATTTCTTAGCATTCACACAGCTGGGGAGCATGGCTCTCAGCCTACTCAGAAAGGCAACCACCTGACCGGAAGACCACCACCACCCCACTGCCAGACCCTGACACAGACCAGAGGAAGACTTGGGGTGCACCGGGTGACACAAGCTGAAGTTCTTTAACACAGTACCAGGGCTGCCGCCTTCTTAAAGTCACTGTCACCACAGCTAGGAGAAGGAATGTGACCACTTGGAGCCTCACAGGCTGAGGGAGAGGATCGGTGGATGGTGATCAGTGAGCGGCAGGCTCTGGAAGGGTTCATTCCAAAGGTCCAAGGGCAGGAGCACAGGGTGGGCTCAGAAAGTCTGAAGGTGGCACCTATACTGTCAGCCCATCCCAGAAATCCTTGGGGGATCTTCGGTAACCTCAGACTTTTCAGAAGTTTGTGCTGCTTTCTCGAAGGACTCCAGAGCAACAGCTGAACCCAAAGACTCTGCATATGCTCAGGAAAATCCTTCCTGCACAGTCAGTTTCTCAGCCACGTAACTTGGTGACTTGTCCCCCTTTTGGCAGCACACACACACCCCCGCTGCCATTCCCACACCATGTTCGAACTGGAAATAACTGTTTATAAACACCTGCCCTCCACAGCAGCAGTGTACAAGCCGAAGAGCCGGCAACTCCATGCTCAGCGATCAGCAACCCAATATTTAGAAGGATTCAGATAAATTCCACATGCTAAGCAACACAGTCGGTTCTGGGGTTTCTGGGCATGGTCTCTGGGTGCGGAGAGGCTTCCTGACCTGCTCCTTTGGCCCAGAGAGGCAGTTCTACCTGTAGGAGGATTTGCTAACGAGACTGCAGTTGGGTTGGCCAAGCCTTTATCGCGACAGGAACAGAGTGCCAAGACCATTTTTAAAGCATGAAAAGCAATTTAGCTTATAGCCACAACAGCATATTTCAAGTAGGGCAACAGCATCTGTTTTGAGAGGGAGAAGATGAAAACCCTTTGGCTCAGGTAGATGAGCATGTGCGGACTTCCTCTCTTGCCAGTGCAGGCTCCTTCCACCCAGGCTCATAACTGTTAGGAAGGACCCAGCACTCGCAGAGAGGAAAATCTCTAGCAGAATTTTCAAACTCTCAACATAAGCGGCTATGCCCCTTAGATGAGCGCGCGGGTGGAGCAATGTGTCCCAGATAGACCTTTCGTTTTAGAACACAGCACTCCCGGGAAGGACACTAAGGATGGGGTGCCAGAAGCAGCCCAAGAGTCCTCTGGGAAGCCCCCCAAAGTTTTTGGGAAACTGAACCATGGGAAGCTCTGCCCAAAGTGAAACTGAGAACAGCACGACTGTGCCTTGTTGACCAAGAAGGCCATGAAGGCTAAGCACAGGGTCCTCTCCGAATCCATCGGTGCCTGCCCACAGATGGCTGCTTCTCCACACCTGAGGGAGGCCTCTGCGCTCCACAAACAACAGGGCCCTGGACCAGGCATGCTGTGCAGCTATCAGAGTAGTCACAAGGCTCTTCTTCCCCCCATGCTCATCTCCTGAGCAGCTCACTCAGCTACTTCCTCCCAGTTCCGCTGGGCACAACTCAGGACCTCCAGAGCTTGATCCCAGGGTCCCCTGCTTTAGGCTCTCTGTGGCTTTTCAGGACAAAATATTCCCAAACTTGTGTCTAAGCCAGCTTCCCGAAACATCTCAACCCTTGAGGGGGTGTGTTTGGGGGAAGAGAACAGAGGGTGTTAGGCAGGGCCGCCCCACGCTGGCCTAGTGCCCACTTCTCCACTCCACTCCAGAACAAATCACCTTAACTATACAGGGCTCAGGTTCCTCCAAAGGCTGGCAAATCCCATCACGGGGAACGAGCACCTCTCCATCTCTGTTCTCCAGAACAGCACCACCCAGTTCAGCACACCGCTCCTCAGCCAGGCCACTCTTGGCCCCAGATGCTCTCCTCAGATGACCTCAATTTCAACTCATGGCCAGGACCAGCAGCCAGTCAAAAGCATGGTCACGATGGGTCAGAAGCCAACACTTTCTCGCTTTTCCCTTCCTAACTGCCATGCCTGCCCTAGCTTCCTCCCAACTTTTAAATACAAAGTACTTATTCCTCTCCCCAATTAGAATCTTTCTCTAGCTCCTTTGGAAGATGTCTGAATGTCAAACTGACATGTTTTCAATATCTGGCTGAGCCAGACCCAGGGAGCTGGCGGGTTTTGGAGGGTGTATAATTAGCTGATCAGTATTATGTTACCCTGTTCATAACTGAATAACCATTTTAATACAGATGGCACACACTGGGATAATTTCTGGGGTCGCCTCGCAGTACGTTACAGCACAAGTGTGGCAGAGGGAATCTTCTTTAGCCAAGGTACATTCTACCAGCTAATTTTACCTGCTGTTTTCAGGATGATTTGGGATAATTCCATATCATTTGCAAAATATTTTTTTTTAAACCCTATGATAGTTTATGCTGGCTTCAGAAAAAAAGTACCATCTAAATTCTTGGTTGTCCTGATTATAATAAGCCCATGAAGAGTACAAAGAATAATGGTATCAAAGTCTCGGTCCTTTTCTCACTTAGGGGTGCTTTAAAATGGGGGGCTTGGCTCCGACAGGCCAGGATTTGCACATGGTCTGTGTACAACTGTCACGTTATACAGTCCTGCAATTATCAAGCCAGCCTAGGTTCCTGGGTTTGCCTTTTGCTTGCGTGCTCTCTAGCAACCTCAGAGAAGCACACTGGCACGCTGTCAGGGTATACATGCATGGAGGGTGCCCTGGCTTCCACAGGGCATGAGGGAGTCCTCTGGGGACTGTCTATATGTCCAGCAGACTCTGGCAGGTGTTACCCCACATGCTTGAACATGTCATCAGCACAAAGACTTCATTCTCAAAACTGGCACCTTAGGTGTGTGGGAGCATCCCGCAAAATCCACTCTCAGGCTGTTCTCCCTCCCTGCCTGGCACCCCTCTCCTTGTCTAGCTCCTCTGTTCCCTGCCAATTGGTGGCTGGTGGTTGGCATTTGTTCCACAGGCCTGGATGCCAGTGCTTCTAGACCGGAAATTTGTTCGGAGCTGGCTAGCAAGACTTGGGCTCCTGGGAGGCAAGCTTCGTGGGAGTGGCAAGGGAGCCAGGACCAGAAGCTGCCCCTGGGGACAGGCACATGCCTTTAGAAAGGGAAGTCTGTTTGGAGGTGATGAATAGACACTGGTCAGTTTAAAGGCTTCACTACGGGCTGTGATTGTCTCTAGATCCCGAGGCACGTAATCTTGGAGTCTTAATTACCACAAACACTTGGATTCATTTCCACGACGCCAGCGGGGAGAAGCCTGGCAGTGAATACCCAGCTCTGAACTGCAGACAGTCCTGTCTGTCCGTCTGTCTCTCTGCCTTGTAGGTGCCCTCTCCCTGCCAAAGCACTTCAGGCTGGGAGCTGGAGGAAGGGCAGAGACTGGACAAAGGGCAGAGCCCGGCCTGGGGAGACCTTCAGCCTGCAGGAACCAGGAGCTGAGTCCTGCTGACCAGGCCTGGGGAGCCTGCTCACCTGTTGATGGAGGAGACGCTGGGCACTGTGTCATTGTCGCAGATGCCCTCAGCCAGGAGCCGGTCACGGATCTCCCAGGCGAACATGGTTGGGTTCTGCCGCTTGTATTCAGCAATCTTGTCCACCACTTTAGGGGTTGCCACTTTGGGCTTCGAGCCACCGATCACTCCAGGCTTGATGCTGCCAGTCTCATAGTACCTGTGCCGGAAGCCGGCAGGGTCAGCAGGAAGCAGGTGGTGGCAGGCGTTGGGGTGGGGGGGCTGCAGGCTGCAAAGCCGCTGAGCCACTCTCCCACCCTCCCGCCTGAAGCAGCAGCATGAAGGGAAAAGGCCCAGTGTGGCCCTGCAGACTTCCAGAGGGTGCTTAGCTAAGATGAGGGGCATTGAGGAGGATGCAGGGCAGAGGCAGCCACACCAGGGCTGGGCGCACACCTGTCATCGGAACATGAGCCCCTGGAGTGAAAACCCGGGTCTGAAACCTCACCTCTGGCCCTGTCTCACTGCATGCAGGGGCCCTGTGGGAACCAGGCCCCTCCTTCTGCCTGACCAGCGCTGCTGCTGCTTCTCTTGGGGGTCTGCGTTCACACCCCACCCCTCCCCACTCCTCCGACCACCCCCACATTAACTCACTGAAAGGGAGTCCCTTTCCTCCCGACGTCAGGGATGAGGCTGCCTCCCCTCAAGGGCCCAGGAACAGAGCAGGCACTGGGGCAACGCTTCTCCTCCCGCCATCAAGTGAGTGCCCTTCGGACACAGGAGCTGTCTGGACCCCTGGATCTGGGGAATCTCTCTCTCTCCCTCCCGCACAGCGCCTCAACTTTTAGCCAAGTCCTCAGCCGGCGAGGAGACAGGGAGTCTCCCCTGGCTCCAGCCCTCACCTGCCCAGGATTTTGCTGACGCAGCCGTGGCTGACCCGCAGCTGCCTGGAGATGTCGCAGGGCCGCACGCCCTGGTGGGCCAGCTCCACGATGCGCTGCCTCACCACGTCGGGCAGGGGCCGGCCGTTCACAAACACCCCCCCGAGCTGGTTCACACCCCCGTGCCCTGCTGGGGAGAGACAAGAAAAAGACAGCACCCCACACACAGCAGGGACAGCCATTAGTCAGGGTCCGAAGCCTGGGATGAGCAAAGGGAGCAGGCAGGGCTGAGCGCGCCGCTCTGAACTGGCGGAACGGTGGCAGGCTGATCAGTGCGCCAGGGTTAGGGATTGGAACCGGCTAGGTGGAGACATCGCACCCGAGTGGGGCGGAGGGGTGGGAGAGAACTGAGTGAGACACTTGTGACCGTGCAGGAGAAAGTGAGGGATGGAATGGAGAAGTCGGGGGAGAAAGGAAGGGCAGGAGGGAGAGAAACAGCCACGGGGACTTAGTGCTAGCTGAACGAATGCAGGGGAGGAGAGCTGGCGAGCCGCGGGTGGTGGAGGCTGACCGCTGACCAGGGCAGTTTCGCGGTGCAGGGATGGGAAGCTGGTGGTTTGGGGGGTCCTATCCGCCTGACTGCTCAGCGGAGCCCAAGCACAGCGGGGCTAAGTCACACACGCTTCCTTCAGCTGCACACCTCTCCCTTTGTGTGTATTTTCAGTCAAGATCACACTGCCTCTTTCCCCGTGTTTTCTGTTTCTTCTATTTGGTTTTGATCAGTTTTTCTTTCCTTGACGTTTCCCATCTTTAGATATCAGGAAGCCACCTTTCCCTCTGGCCTCCCTAGGGTCTAAAGTGTGTGGGGGGAAGCCGGGTAGGAAGGGGAAGCGGAAGAGTGAGCCCGGGATCTGCTCCGCTCCCCCGGAACCTGAGGCGGAGACTGAGCCAGCGCTGGCCGCGGGG